TTCCCCGCACCCCCCCCCCCCCGCAGTGTTCCAGATGGTCTGTCTCCTCACTCTCTCACTCACTCACTCATTCACTCAGTCACTCATTCACTCACTCAGTCACTCAGTCACTCATCCACTCATTCACTCAGTTACTCATCTACTCATTCACTCACTCACTCATCTACTCATTCACTCACTCACTCATCTACTCATTCACTCACTCACTCATTCACTCATTCACTCACTCATCCACTCACTCATCCACTCACTCATCCACTCATTCACTCACTCACTCATTCACTCACTCATTCACTCATCCACTCACTCAGTCACTCATCTACTCATTCACTCATTCACTCACTCACTCACTCACTCACTCATTCACTCATCCACTCACTCATTCACTCAGTCACTCAGTCACTCATTCACTCACTCATTCATTCAGTCACTCATTCACTCATGCCCTCACTCACTCATTCACTCAGTCACTCATTCACTCACTCATTCTCTCATTCCCTCACTCACTCATTCATTCACTCACTCAGTCACTCATTCACTCACTTACACATTCACTCATTCACTCACTCATCCACTCATTCACTCACTCAGTCACTCATTCACTCACTCACTCATTCACTCACTCACTCATTCACTCACTCACTCACTCACTCATTCACTCAGTCAGTCACTCACTCAGTCACTCACTCACTCACTCAGTCACTCATCCACTCACTCACTCATTCACTCACTCACTCATTCACTCACTCACTCATTCACTCACTCACTCACTCACTCATTCACTCAGTCACTCTGTCACTCATTCACTCACTCATTCATTCAGCCACTCATTCACTCATGTCCTCACTCATCCACTCATTCACTCACTCAGTCACTCATTCTCTCATTCACCCACTCACTCATTCACTCACTCATTCATTCACTCACTCACTCATTCACTCACTCACTGACTCATTTACTCAATCACTCATTCACCCACTCACTCACTCATTCCCTCACTTACTCCCTCATTCATTCATTCATTCCCTCATTTACTCATTCATTCACTCATCTACCTATTCATTCCCTCCCTCACTCACTCACTTACACACTCACTCAACACATATGTACTGTAAGCCTAGTGTGTCCCTGGCCCTGTGCTAGTCCCAGGCAAAACCCCAGTTTCTTCCCCCATGGAGCAGGGGAGACAGGAGGACCTGGAGGAAGTGATTTCTGAGCTGAAATCAGGATGAACCAGACTTAATCTGGCTCGGAGAAGAGGGAGAGCAGCCAGGAGCGTGGCAGACAGAGGTTCCCTGAGCAAAGGCTAAGCAGGAAGGCCAGGCCCTCTAGGACCTTCCTGGGAGGGTTCTGCAGTTCTGGAGACCCCAACTCCCTCCTCTTATTCTCCCTCTGCCCCTGCACACGCCCAGGTCCTCTGCATGAGCTGTGCTCTCTGCTTGCAAGCCCATTCTCCTCACCAGCCTTGCCTCCCGGCTGGCGTCTTCTCCCGCCAGGCTCAGCCCCACTGCCTCCTCTGGAGGCCTCCTGGGAACCCTCTTCTCTTCACCCGGATGATGGGAATTATTCTTATTTGGACAGCCCCTTGGGCTCACCTCAATCTGATTGCTTCCTGCTCTGTGTTTTCTTATTTTATCTTTCTTATTTTTATTTTTTTTTACTATTTTTTAAAAAGTTTATTTATTTATTTTTGAGAGAGAGAGAGTGCGTGCATAAGTTGGGGAGGGGCAGAGAGAGAGAGAGAGGGACACAGAGAATACGAAGCAGGCTCCAGACTCTGAGCTCTCAGCATAGAGCCTGACCTGGGGCTCAAATCCACGAGTCGTGAGATCATGACCCAAGCCAAAGTCAGATGCTCAACCGACTGAGCCACGTGGGCGCCCCTATTTTTATTTTTAATTTAAAAAAATGTTAATGTTTATTCATTTTGAGAGAGAGAGAGAGAGAGAGTGAGAGAGAGCACAAGCAGAGGAGGGGCAGAGAGAGAAGGAGACACAGAATCTGAAGCAGGCTCCAGGCTCCGAGCTGTCAGCACAGAGCCCGACGTGGGGCTCGAACCCACACACTGTGAGATCGTGACCTGATCATGATCAAAGTCAGTCCCTAACCAACTGAGCCACCCAGGTGCCCCCTGCTCTGTGTTTTCATTCTCTATTTGTCTCCCCAGATTGAAGTCTTTAACAGTAGCACTGCCTCACTAAGTGGCCTGGGAGCAGAGCATCTTGAAGCCAATTCTGTGCCCAGAGAGCATCCGCTGAAGGAATGAATGGCCTGGGTGGACCCTGCTTGCTTGACACGGGTTTTCCAAACATACTCTCCCAGGGCAATGGAGTTCGGCCTTGGATTCAGCTCCTTTCACTTTAGTTCATCTCTCTGGAGCCCACTTGGGCAGCGCGGCTTGTTGGTGTTTGGTATTAGGATTGGCCAGAGGTGACAGTCAAAATATGTCGCGACTGGTGAGGCGCAGGCACTGACCCACCTGAACAGCTGGCAAGACGAGGTCGGGCAAAAGGGCCACTCGTGATAAGGAATCACGCCGTGTCCCCGGCTGTGGGTGCCTCTGAGTCGTGGTTTGTGGGAGCGCATGTCCCGTAAAGATGGGATTTGCTTCACTGTCCCACACGTGCTGTCAACTCTGGCTGCCAACGGTTCTAAGACAGAGCGCCAAGAGTCCTCTCTCACGACCAGGCACTGGATCAGCTCTGTGGGATGACCCTTCTTTCTTCCCTCCTATAAGCGGACATATGGTACAGAGGAGGGAGCAGACGTTCTGGAGCCCGATGCATGGACGTTGAAATCCTTGCCCCACGACTGTGCGTGATTTGGGGCAAAATACTTAAAACCCTTGACCCTCAGTTCCTTTTGTATGAAATGGAAATAGTAAGTATCTAACTCAGCAGTTATGAGGTTTAAATGAAAAGCACGTATGTATAGGGCACGGTGTGTGATCGGCCTATGGTAGTATGAGCTCCCTCCCGCTCTGGTGGTGGGTGGGACTCGTTTACCTGACGGCTTCACAGACATGCTTCTTCTACTCTAAAACCCTACTGGCCCCGCCACTGCAGGCCATAAGTTCATGGTCACCAGGCGACTCCCAAGAACGTTCTCACACTTCTGTTTCCATCACAGAGCCACCTGCACGCTTACCAAGGGGCAACTGTTGTTCCCAAACCCGTTTATACCGGTACTGCCTGCTATTCTAATGATACAGTGTAATTACATGCAATGCAACCAATAAAATACGAGGGTGTACATAGAGCTGTCTAGAAACAACTTCATTTTAAGTACAAGACTTAGTAAGGGTGAGTTACCACATGTGGAATTCTAGTAAGACACGCAAAACTCCAGTTAGGTACAATTACTCGAAATACTAGTGGGTAAACGTACGTTTCAAGTTACAATAAGATGTTTAAGAATAAATAAAGCATTTCCTATCACTCTCTGCTTCATCCCGTCTATCCCATCTATGTGGTGGAGTGACCAGCCGCTAGTTCTGGTCCCATTATAAATGCACTCAATATCTCATTGGAAGACTTATGTATATGTCTCATTATCCTCACCACAAGCTAACATTTTTTAAAGTTTATTTATTTGTTTTCGAAGAGAGAGAGAGCACATGCACACACGTGACTGGTGGAGGAGCAGAGAGAGAGAGGGAGAGAGAGACTCCCAAGCAGGCTCCAAGCTGTCAGTGCAGAGCCTGACTTGGGGCTTGATCTCACAGAACCGTGAAATCATGACCCGAGCTGAGATCGAGAGTCGGACACTCAACCAACTGAGCCACCCAGGCGCTCAGACCACAAGCCAAGATTAAGTGGGGCTGTGTATGACCTAAAAACTTAAAAACAAGATAAATTTGACTAAGCTAACATTTTCTTTTCACATAAAGGAAGTCTAGAAGTCGGGAAGGCTTTGGTGTTATCAGGGAGCCAGGGGGCTCTCATTTTGCTTCCTCGGCCATGGTTTCCATTCTCAAGATTTCTTCTTGAATCCAAGATGGCTGCTAGAGCTCCAGGCATCACACCCTCAGCTCCAGGTATCAAATCTTTGTTTCAAGCCACAGGAAGAAGGAAGGGGTGGTAGTAGGGAGGGCCTCTCTGTCTTTGTAAGGTTGGGAATTCTTTCCTTCCTGGTGAAAATACAACTAGCTAAAATTTGGGGTCTTGTTCACAAGGAGAAAGGTGAAAATGGTTATTAGGGTTGGCAATCAGCAGTCTCTGCTGACTATTTTCATCCCCATTTTACAGTAAGGAAAACTGAGGCTCATGGAGGGAAGATCACACAGGTAGTAAGTGGCAGGGCTGAGATTCAGACACAGAAGAACTGAAATGTCTGACGAGGTAAAAACATCGTCCTGGCATCGAGCGTTTGCTAAGGCAGCACTGACCCAATGTTCTGAGTCACCCTCTCTTAGGAATGCCTGTGTGTTTAAGACTCTGAAGCCTGCCTACTTCAGCACCATTTAAGAGCTCTGAGCCGACTCTCAGTCGTATTTGTCCGCGGCAGGTTTTTAATTGGTTTCCATTTTTGAAAAGTAGTCATAGCAGCTTTGGTCATTACTCTGATGAGGTTCTTGAAAGCAATTTCCTGTTACAGAAAGATAGAATTGTCAGAGGAAAGAGCCGTGAAGACTGTTAGAATAGTATCAGTAAATGAGGTGGCTTTTGTGGGGTCTAGATCGGTGGTCCTCAACTGGGGCAATTTGGCAATGTCTGGAGACATTTGCGGAGGTCGTACTGGGAGAGGCTGCTGCTGGTATCTTTCGGGGAGAGGCAGGGGATGCTGTTACACCTCTGCGATGCATAGGACAAGCCCCTGTGGGGGGGGGGGGGAATCAGTAGCACCAGGTCCGAACCATTGGAACGAACCGAGCTAATGTAATACGGTATCTGCTGTTTTAAATGGACGTCTTAGGAAGAATCTGGGGAATGGGTCCTCACCTGTCTCTTCAGAGATCCTGCAGAAAAAGAAAATCCTGCAGAGGCCTCCCCAGTGGATGTTTGGTAGACATTTATTATAGATAATAATACCCACAATTATATCTTTAAATCCATCACTAAGCACTTTTTGCGTGGCCTCCATCCACAGAGCAGGAACTTAGAGATCATCCAGTACAGAGACGTCAAGTCCTTGGCGTCCTGCTTTCGCCCAAGCCTGTAGGGAATCTTCAATCACAGCGGGGTTTTTTTGTTGTTTTTTTTTGTGGCCCCCAAATGCAGCCTCGGAATCCTTCTCAACACGGCCATCCGGGGACAGCTACTAATGAATATAGATGGCACGAAATGTGAAACCCGTTTGCCTTTCCTCTTCTGGTTCATCCCTTATTACGCGCTGGCTGTAACCAGAATCTAGGTTTTGCGATTTCTTGCCCGCTGTTCGTTTCGCTACCCCATGCGAGAGCCTGCGACTTCCTTTAGTATCTGCTATGGCTTGAACTGGGTCCCCACAAAAAGCCACGCTAGAGTTCTCAGCCCCGGTACCTCAGAAAGCGACCTAATTTAGAAAGAGTGTTTTTACACGGGTAATCACATTGAAACGAGGTCACAGAGACAGGCGTGCGCAGAGAGGAGACGATGTGAAGACACAGGGAGGAGATGGCCATCCACCACCAGCCAGGAGACCCCCGAGGCTACAGGACCGGGGACAGAGTTTCCCTCGCAGCCCTCACGAGGAACCAGCCCTGCTGACTCCTGGATCGTAGACTTCCGGCTCCCGGAACTCTCAGTAGTTTAAGCTACTGAGTCTGTGGTCATTTTTAATCGCAGCCCTAGCAAACTCATACAAACGAGTACAAGTTAGGTCTTCCCTAACGAAAACTACTGTTATTCCAGATTTGCTGATGTCCATGGTCATGGGCTTCTCCGATGTTTACCTATTTTCGTTCGTCCCGTGCTGTATCTGGGTATCTATTTTCCGCATGCGCCGATGAGTACCCTGCTGAACGCTCAAGGGACGACGGTCCGCAGATCTCCAGAGTTCTTCTCTCCCGTCTGGTCCTCTTCCTGCAGCTAAAGCCACCTGGCTCCGGGATTTCCAGCTCCGTGTCCTCAAGTCACAGGAGTGGCGGCGCCCTGCCTGGGTCCTGTCCTGCTGCCACCGCCTGGAAAATGTCTCTCCTGAGTAAGCCGGAGGCAGGGCTGCCCCACCTGTTGCCAGGCTCTTGGGCCTCACCGTCCCTCATCACCTGCTGTCCCGTGTCTGGGTGTCAGTGTTTGATGATTCTGTCTTCTTGTTGAGCTGTTTCGGGTAGAAGGGCGAAGGGGACTCCGTGTCGATGGGGAGTGGAAGGTTCCACAGGTATCATTCTGCTTCTGCGAGGCGGAGAGAGAGCAAAGAGCGACCCGGGAATTAATTCAGGTGGGAGGAAGCCGGGAAGCGGGGAGGGCGCGCTGGGCGGAGTGAGGACCTCTGCAAGCTCTTCCCAAAGCTGCCGATAACGTCCCTGGGCCTGAAAACAGTTGTGTGGGGCTGGGGGTGTCACGAAACGAGGCTGAGACAAAGGAGCCCAGAAGAACGCAAGCTGGCCTGGACTTCACGGCCGTCTTGGGGAGGCTCTGACCTTCCACCGGCTCTGGACCAACCCCACTGGGTCTCAAGAGGCTCTAGACGAGATGCACCCCACCCCCTCCCGCCGACTGAGGCGTTCACTGCCCGGCTGCTGGGGGCGTTGCTGGCCAATAACTCTCAGCTGACACTTGAGGCGTTGCCCTCAGTCAGACAAAATCTTCTCACCCAAGGCTGTGCCCTCCCCCGGGGCAGCCCGCATCCAGGACTGGCTAATGAAGGGGTACACACCCTTGGTCCCCCTAGGCAGACAGTTCTGGAGGCTCAACCAATCTAGGGCTCCCCGTGGGGCCATGGGATTGGCTGAGGTCTTTGCTGTGACTCAGTCCCACATCACACTCAGGCTTTTCCCTCTGCCTCATCCTGCTGTTGGCTCCCTTTTCGTGTTGATTCTCAGGGTGTTCTCCGTAAGCCTCCTCCACGAGAATTTCTGTGTGTCCGAAGGGGTTACATACAGCGGGTGCCATACGAATGCGTGCGTGTCTGTATGTATCACATACAACAGACGCCTTACGTGCGTGTACAGCAAATAGACACATCAACGTCAACATATGATGGGTCTTTCAAGGCATCAGAGTTGAACTTACTGGGATCCCAGTTGAGAAGGGCCGTCCGGGGTGTGCACACCCACCTTTCCGGTCTGGAAAGTCTGTTCGAGGCCTATCCCGGGAACACATGACCAGCTCCCTTTGGGGCCGCCGCCCCGGGGCTCACGCTGTGGCCTCCGGTAGCTCCTGTGTCCTAGGCCTGTCCTGGCTTCCCTCTGCACCCTCTCTCCTGCTCCGAGGGCCCCTCCCCGGCCTCCTCCCCAGCTGCGGCCTTGCACGCCTAGGCCGCCTCAGCTTTTGCCCTTCCAAGTTTTCTCAGCCGCTCACTCTGTGGTTCCTTCTCGCTGACCGCAGGGGGTGGGGGGCTACTTGTCTAGCCCTTAGGAAACCCCGGGCAGCAGTCGGAGAGGCATTGCCTTCTGAACAACAGCGGGAAGAGAGTTTCCTCCTGGAAACAAAATAAGCCTGTTTCTATTTCTATAGTGTGTTGTTCCTTCTGTTCTAAAGAGTGACCTAGCAGAGACCGGGGAAGGGCCTTCTTCGTACTCTGCCTTTACCCATTTGACGCCCACCACAAGTGGGTTACGCCATCACATAAGGAGAAGATTTAAAAGATACATTTCAAAAACTAACTTAGCGCCTAGGCATAAGGGATTTCTGGTGCCTTGGCCTGGGAAGAGGCTGCACGATGCGTCTGAGCTCAACTTGGCTATCTGAACGTCTAACACATAACTACTACTGGCTAAGGTGCTAATTACAGTATGTGTTTTCAAAATACTTTGTGCACACCAACGGATCCCTTATTTTTCATGGTCCAGGCACTGAATCTCAGCTTTACAATGGGGTGTCTGGCTGAAGGAAGGACTTTGGGGCAAAATTAAAACTAAACTCCCAATTTCTTTTCTTTTCTTTCTTTTTTTTTTTTTTAATGCTTATTTATCTATTTTGAGGGCGGGGAGGGGAAGAGAGAGAGAGGGAGAGGGAGAGAATCCCAAGTGCCGAGCTTGATAAGGGGCTCAATCTCACGAATCTTGAGATCATGACCTGAGCAGAGATCAAGCATCATACATTTAAGCAACTGAGCCACCCAGGCACCCCTAAACTCCTGATTTCTATCCAGACATTTAGATCATATCTTGGGATG